TTTATTCATGATTGTTGCCACTAGCAACTGTTAGTGCACAATCGTGAAATCAGATTAAGATAGGGAAACTCAATATCACTAAGCACATTATAGGAAAACGGTTTGAGGGAACACTACGAAGTAACCAGATCTATAGACGTGTGCGCGTTTCAACGCGTATTTCACAGAAATGTGATATTTTCGTTTTCCCGAAGAGGCACAAATATCTTGCGTCACGTGCTCCGTGATTTGCCGTATTCAGAAATTGACGTTCTCCTTAACTTACACAGTTACGTGTTTTAATATCATTTTTTTCAGTTTAGTCACCCATTTACGGGTGAAATAAAATCATTTTAGACATTTAAAGCTTTTTTTCTATGCTATGTTGACAAAACACACATCTCTGCTCCTTCGTGAAAACGAGATTGTTCGATAATACACGGGTGTACAATATGCGCGCGCACACATTTGCGTCACTTCGTGAAACCACAACTGTTCTAATCACGCTTTTCACGAAATGGAACAAAAGTGAAGATGTGTGTCAGTTTGTGGTGTTGGTGACGTATAAGTAGGCGCCATTGAATCTAGTAAACGGAAAGAGAACCATTATAGGTTGTTGAAGGAATAATCATTAAGTGTGCATCGCTGTTAGTTGGTTTAGGATCGTCTGGAAATGACTTGGGCGCCGTTATTCCGAGGAAGCTCCTAGACAAAAAATGGGCAAAGAAACAAAAAGGCAACATGTGTCCACCCGAATACCATCAACTGAAGAATCCAGCCACATAATGTTATAAATAATAACTGTGCACCAGAGATGAGCAAAGCCATCAAAAACTAAATCAGAAAAGATGTTAGAACACTGATAGATAGATTTTTCCGAGAAGCACTACTGTACGTCACCGTACATATTGCAGATTTGTTGACTAAACGAAATCCGTCTTCCGCCTACGGTGCGATTCCGCCCTCTGTTGGCTACTTTGTGTCAAGCACTGCGCCTTTCTACTACACAAAAGCCAGTCTGATGGAACCGCATGGAAACATACGAAATAGCCTGGTTATCGCGCAAGCTGGAGACGCAGGCACAATGGCAGGTTTATGACGTACAGTGAGCGCTTCAAATACTGAACTGAACCTGAATATAATTGCCGCTCCCACAGGAAAGTGGCACCATGAAGGTTGTTCGTGGAGTGTGGTGATGGTCGTTTTGCCTTTCGACTGCTCGACATATTTTGAAATTCCCCGCCGTATGCTTCAATCCACACTGCGTTCGTGGATTACAGCCTCTGCTGAAGCTCAGATGCTGAGTGAGCGACAAGGGCGGCATCATCAGCATACAGTAGCTCCCGGAGGAGGACAAGCCTGGCCTTCGTCTTGGCACGAAGGCGGGCCAGGTTGAAAAGTTTCCCTGAACTGCGGATGTGAAGCAGGATACAAAATGAATCTGGAAAAACACGGCCAAGTAGGACAGAGAAGAACACGCCAAATAGAGCGGGGGCGCGTACGCAGCCTTGCTTAACGCCACAATGAATTGGAAATTTTGCAGAACTTGGGCTGTTGAATTGGACCGTATACCGTTGTGAAAATCCATCAGAATGGACAGTAGGGTGTCTGCGGGAACAGCGAACGATTTCAAGATGTACTTTACGTCGGGCGGATGTTAATTAATCGTCGCTTTCACCACGAAGAGACATCAAAACTCTCCAATGTGCGACCTCGCGGTGAAACCCCGTAATTAAAAATATACAACTGCCTTCTGGGGAAATTCCCATCCCATTATTAGTATTTATGTCTGTTAATGACACCAAGGAATCCTCAAAAGCGCCCTAGGCACTGTACTTCACAAGCCTGAAGAAACTTGTAGAGAGGAGACAATGAGAAGCAGTTACAGTTGTTGAGGTGGAAAGAATACCCTACAGGAACATTCCGGGTAAAACCCCCGGAACCAGGTAGGGACTGAAAGCCCAATCCAAATGTACACCGACCTTGGAATCGAACCTGGACCACAGAAGTGGAAGGCGAGGAAAGAACCACTACGCCAACCCAACTCTAGCTCTGACAATGTGAGAATTTGGGTGAGTATAGCGGACCACTGCTCCGCCTGAACTGTGTCGATCAAGTCAGGTTGGGATGGCTGAACTTGAGCCTGAAAGTTGACCCCTGATGGCGTGCTTCCGAAACCCTTGGAGAGGAAAGATAACGTGGGGAAATTTTATAGTTTGTAATATTTTTCGTTCAGTTACTCGTTAAAAAATCCGACTCGGAAAAGGGGTTTTGGAAAACATTTGCTGGTATATCAACTTATAGAAACTGAAAAATCACCTAACCTAAAAGAGAAATATTCAACCTGAAATGGACCCATCACTTCCGAAAGCCTAAAACACATAAAGAACAGCGCAATCGGCGTACGCAGATGAACGTTTAAAGTTTGAAATTTTGTGGCAGTCCGTCGGTAAAGCTTAAACAGCAATATTCTACTTCAATAACAAAAGATTTTAATCTTTTATCCAACCTCTGCTGACATCAACTGCGTGATGTCAACTCAACGGAATCTGGAACCCATCCACTGCAGGTAGGTAAATCATTGCAATGGTGTACAATCTCGTTTCCACGTAGGCACGGGCAGTGAATACGAACGTGTATTGACATGGAGACCTAGGGACGATATCGCCGGACGTGAAAGGTCGTTAAGAAAATTCCTTTTTACCCATCTCCGGATGACTTTTTCTAAAAATTACTGGAAGAAGACAAAAGTAAAATTCCAAAATGAGTGTTTCATGGGGAGGTTTCAGTTACGAATTATTATTCCAGAAATTATCGAATGTGATAGGACGGCCCAATGTAAAATCCCCATAGGCGGACTGCGCAAGGGTTCCTGAAACTCGCTGAGTGACTTGTCCTTTTAGGCTCTTATTTTGCATGTACACGCTCTTATGTTGGGGAGCGCTTACGGGGATGTCTCATCAGGCTGGCTGGGTTTACGAGGTCAGGGACAAGTTTGACCGTCGGGAAATTACGATAGCTCAGCAGGTGTTTTGCCGAAGAAAACAGGTAATGGCCTCCCATGGGTGTTGATGTGAAAGTACAACCGAGTAGTCTTGACCTACAACCGCAACAATCAATTTGTTATGGGTGCTGTTGGACTAGGCTGGGGCAGTGTAGCATTTTAGAGGTAGCACGCCAGGGCCAGTGCAATGGTGCGCATACTGTAAAATATTGCATTATAAAAGAGTCACTGTAAACAAATATATGGTGAAGTAATGTTTTTCTTCATTAATACTAAGAAATGACTTTGTATAATTCAAACCAACAATGTATTAAATGTACAGTATCGGATACTTCCAGTTTTGCAGTCTAAGGTTCGACTTCAATTTGCATATTGACCAACATTGGCGACACTTTTTAGTCAATAGATTTTACCACTTATTGCTATGCAAGCGTTTACCTTATTTTAGTCACTGTTTGTGATTGGTGGATGTAGTTTTGTAAATAAATACCACAATGTCTCAAAATATCAGATTTGCAATTAAAAATCTATTTTTTTTTATGTACCAACCGTGACTTATGCAAGGTCACTGCTTAGGCAGAGTCGGACCACTTCAATTTGCTCGGGCTTATTGGGAGTGGTGGGGTAAAGTAAACTTTATTCTGAAATGACCTTGCCGCTGAGACATATGCATACATGTACATGTGGTAGACCACGCATACCCACAAACTGTCGATAATACATTCACATATAATAGTATGAAATCAGCCAAGCCAATTGGACCTAATTAAGTTCCATTTACCCAATTAGATCCAGTTAATTAAGCCCCATCAAAAAACAACAGCTAATATGCAGCCTGGAAACTCCTTTTTTAACTAAAATCCTAAAACGGGATTCATTTTGATACCACTAAGTTAGTTCAAATAAACAAATACCCATTGACATAGCTTTAATTGCAATTGAAATCTTTTCTTACTAAATTTAATCGCCCCCATGGAAACCAATGGAATCCCGTTCAGTCCCGTTTTGTTTAGTATCCCATAAATTTAAAATTAACCTGGATGGAGCATGAAGTAATTAGAATCGTTCATGGCTTAAGTCAAATGGGATGTTATAAATAAAAGTCCAAATGAAACTATTGTGCTCCAATTTCTTCCCCGATGGTCAAATCCAGTTGGGTCCAGCTCAATGGGACTCAGTCCATCAATCCAGTTGAAGCCAGTTAGGTCCAATTGTGTCCCATACAAAATTTACTGGGACTCAATGGATGGTCGGTAATATAAAGCCCACTTATAAATGTCCCATTTAAACCAATGAATGGGATCTTGATCAATCCCATTAAATGTAGTTGGCTCCAGTTGAATCCCATTAAAAAGGGACTCAATTGGTGTTAACTGGAAAGTAAACCCATTTGTAAATTTCCCATTGAAATCAATGCGATCCCGTTCAGTCCCATTAAATCCAGTCAGTTCCAGTTGGATCCATTAAAAACCAATGGGACCCGAGTCAATGTTAATTTTCTCCTGGGCTATCTAGTACAATAGATCAAGAGTATGTACAATGTACAATGGTAAACTGCTGGACAGCTGCCTTTTCGTGTGAAATTTCTCCCAGGAAGGCTGACAAAAGATCATGTTATGCTTTTAATCAGTCTGGCCAATAGATTTTCACACGAAATGCTGCCCTTGTTTATTTAACAGCTGCTTAAAAATAAAGTGCTTGACTACAAACTGAATATAGTAAGCATTTTTGCGTATATTTTATGATGTCTTTTGTGGCATGTACACATTATTTAATTTCCATTGTTGCGTTCCCTAAATGTCAGGTCGATGGCAGCATAGACCTTTACGTACTAGTGTCTACGGGTTGGGTACTCGGGGTCAACAATTTATCAAAAGGTGAATGGGATTGATGTAAGGGGTTTGGATGACTTTCAAACTGTATTGTTTGTTTATTGCTCTCACTTCTCCTCGAAGTTCAGTGTGGGTTTGAAAAAAGTGTAGTTTAACACAATACAACACACAAAAAGCAAAGTTATGGAGAGGCGAAGTTGTATACGAGTGTAACTAAACTACGGTTTGGCAGGACCACTGGGAATGCAAGTCGGACGGCGTGGGTTATGGTACGTGTGTGAAGCATCGCACAACTAAGCTACACTCGTCAGGCCGGGCCGTGGTGGGGACTGTCCCAGACCACCACAGTGACTAGCAAGGGCTGGACGGAGCCCAGCGCCGGTGTGTACCGACCACACTGCCGCTCAGACCGCAATGTGTTGAGCGCTATGATAAGATCGCCGAACTGTGTACCATTGGCTCAGCGTAGAGACGGGGAGGACTGGGCTAGTTAGCAGGACAAGGGTGGCGGGGGACACGGGGGTGTCTCGCCCGGCAATCGGTTCGGACGTAGCGGTGATGGGCCGCTACAACTCACACTAGCACCCTGGGCTAATTTGTACCGCTCTTGCATCGGTGCAAGCTAAGCTAGCTGGCCATTCATATGGTTACATTTCTTCACCATAAGAATGGTTACTATCGCACTTCTCTCGGAAAGGGTCCAACCGCCGCACTACGTTAGGTTCCGCTCTCGCAACAAGGGTTTGGTCCACCACACCTGACCGCCGAGCCAAGGAAAATCTGCTCTATTTATAGGATTCTAGAGGCTTAGGAATTATTAAAATATTAGCGTCGCTGAACAGCTCAACCAATGAAAATCTTCCATCTCATAGGGTCACATGACTTCCTGCTGTAGTCGTGTGGAAGAATCTAAGTGTCGTGTGTAAAAAGGTAAAATACAGAATAAGAATTCACGTGTGCAGAGTGTAGAGTCGGCTGCGTGAAAGTGCTTACCCGGACATGTGTGGCGAATAACAGTTACAAAGTCTGAGGTTTCTGAACATTAGCATTTCATGGAACGTTATCACGCCCAACCACGCAGCCATGCGGAGGTGAATTTCGACATGCCAAAACTGAGCAGAGAAAACACAAGGATAAAGGAGTGAAGGAATACGCTATCACGCCAGAGTACAGCATGAATAACTTAATACAAAATTAGCGTCTCTGCTACATGTCCATAAGGCATAGCTGAGCTAAAAAAGAAACCCTGAGAAATGCAAGGACCGAGAACAATTAAAACTAGGGGGCGCTAGAATTTCACGATTTGCAGGCGCGCAACAATACTTTGAAGCGAAATTAACTTGAGAAGTCAACACAAAACTCAAAGTCAATTCGAAACTCAAAAGTCAACTCTGACTCGCGACATTCAAATGAAAGCTTCACTCGCAGATAAGCTGTGTAGACTGAACATAACCGGGGCAAGTACAGAACCAGGAGGAAGACGATCTCCTCTTCTTAGCCTGTTGGCCTTTATGTCTGAAAAACGAAACTGTAACATTAGGCTAGAAATTTAAAAGGGATTAACATGAGGGAGAGCCCCTCTTAAAACGTGTGCTTGTCTATGGAGAGGGTAGCCCACTGGCACGCTCCATCCACTGACCTCCGTTAGTCTGTATACAGTCTACTAATTCAAGTGAGAACTTCTGGCCAGCTCATTAGCATTAACAGTGCCCCCAGTATTTTTAGAAAAAAGGGACTATATGGCCCCCAAAATGGCGCGATTGTGTAAATCTTTGCCAGAATCAACTCCCAGGGTCTTTGGGCTTTCACCTGAGAGCAGAATGGCTTAACAATAACGGTTGAAAATGGTCCAAGTGCCCAAGAAAGTTGAGAGTTGTCACTTGAAAAATGGCTGCAAGCAGACTTTGGAAAAAATCACTTTTAGGGGGGAAATTTTGTTTTGTGGGAATAACTTCATAAGTTAACCAACACAAAACTGAAAAGAAAGAGAAAGATTAGGGACCATAAAATAATTTATGTTTCAGATACCTTAGGAATGATTGTACGCATGCATGTTAATGGAGCCCAAATAATGGTGATTTTACATTGTTTTCAATGGGGCTCGAATAGAGGACTACATCCTTACTGGGCCAGTGGGGTTTACGTTCACCACGGGTCACAGACAAAACGCGTTCAAGGTGGGTCAGGCTAGAACATATAATAGAAGGGTCAGATTCACCAATCAGCATCATGGCATATAATCTCTAGGGCAGAAATTGTACTTACCGCGTGTACAGATGCCAAAATGCGAGCTCTATGCCAACGTGCTAAAAACGGAGCGTTCTTATGCTGTGTGTATACCCATGGAGTTATAGCTCTACATACACAATCAAAATGCGATGCCGAGCACAAAAACATACCAAGCTGCGTGATGGTACATCAAAATAAACGCATGGAACAGTAATTGGAAAGGCCACCACTCATATCCGGGCACCTCTGGGGCATTGCCTATGGGAGTTAAACACGTGTGCAATTTTAACTAAATAATATTCAGTGTTTCTCCACATGAAAAGAAAGAACACATTACATTTTATTGTGTTGATAATAATGTGCATTATGTTCCACTTTTGTAGTCATAAAGAGGGGTATGTAAGAAATTTGTTTCCCAGGAGGAAAATAATTGGCTTCGGGGAAGTGGTCTTTTCCATTCGATCGAGCAGTCATTATTTTCATCTTCGACCTCAATGCTATCTTTTCAATGGAACATGAAGTGGATATGTCAGTCAAATTCTGACGTGGTGAACTGTGATCATGAAGCACATGACACCAGTGGGAAACTCTAGAGACATCTGCCCAGATATTCAACAACTTTTTGCTTTCAACTCACAGCTTACAGGGAGAAACCGTGACACATTGTGACCTGGCCTCAGCTGGAAAAGGTACAGGGTGAAATCTATGCATGACCAGCTTAAATGTCAATGCCGGACATGTCTTGACTTTGAAACCCGCACAGAATTAGTCACTGAGTTGACCTGGCCATATTGTGACATCAGACACAGTACACCTGCTTCGCCTCTTCACGCTTGTGCCACTCAGTTGCAAAGACTTGTCGGTCACAGTTTGTTTTAGTCCTGATTCCAGACCTGATGATTCTGACTACTCCACGAATTAAGGGTCCCATATCACCCAAGGTCCACGTGGCCAATTATTCCAGTTTCCGTAAATATCCAAAATATTCCGAAGTCTTCTGTACGTGTGATATCGATCGATTAGTAATGGCCATTAGAAAAAGACAGATGAATTTACATCAATGCAAACGATACGCTGTGCAATTATGTATGTGTATGTATACACACTCTTACATTAACGCGAAAAGCTGTCTGAACGTCGAAAAATGGTATGCTCTGAACAGTGTGTTCTGAACATACAGCAGTCACAATGCAGTCACAAATGCTGCATTGCTGCAATGAAGGCCTGTACATGGGCGGGGTTGTAAAGGTGAGAGTTAAAAATAATGATATTATATAGGCCTGTAGGTTTTCCCGGCCAATTTCAGCACAAATGCACTAAAATTCGTTTTTGTCTGACAGGCCTATTGGAGTTGCAAGTCAAACTGAGTGAATACGGGTGTATTCCATCTCACACTAATATGACTACACTCATCGGTCCGGATGGGAGCGGCCCCGAGCCACTGACCACGGTGACTCACAACAGCGGGACCGTGGGGCCAGTGGTATTTACATAATACTACCACCCAGACTACTACAATGTGATGAGAGCGGTATACCCAGCAAGAAATGAGACCAAGGGGTACCCCCA